GGTCCTCCACCAACTCCTCCCCATCATCATCATCCAACTCCAAGCCATGGACCTGCCCAGAGACACAATATCCTCCACAACACACACAGACTCATCCCCAAAGACCTCCAAGTCTCTTTCAGCAACAGACTCAGCCCACAATTTCTTCCAGGTTGATTGCATGGTCCTGAAACACACTCCCCCACCATGCTTTGTCTCTGAGCCTTAAGCAAGTAAGGATATTAAAATGCTCCTTCCAGAACTCCCGGAGGGTTAAATTAGTTTCAGAGGTCACCTCAAAACACCTCTGGAACAGTGCTTTGGTGTAGAGTTTCTTAAAGTTAGAAATGACCTGCTGGTCCATGGGCTGGATGAGCGGAGTTATGTTAGGTGGCAAGAACCTCACAGTGATGAAGCTGTGCTCCTCCATCAGCTCGGCCTCCAAGCCTGGAGGGTGGGCAGGAGCCTTGTCCATGACAAGAAGTGCCCTGAGTGAAAACTGTTTTTCCCAGAGGTATTTCTTCACACTTGGGGCGAACACTTCATGAATCCACTCAATAAAAAACTGCCTGGTCACCCAAGCTTTGCTGTTAGCCCTCCACATCACACTCCACTTGTCTGGTTTTCTGTGCCTTTTTTTTTTTTTTTTGAGAATTAAGTTGTGTTATTCCTTCGTAAGAAATTTACCAAGAATAGTTTGAACAGTGTCTGCTACCTTCTCATATAACGCACATCAGAGAGTGAGCCAACTCTATGCCTTGGCAGATTCCATACTCCTAAAGTTTCCATCCGTATCCTACATTTTAGCGTTCGCTTTCACTGTCATGAATTCCTCCAAGAATTCCTTTAATGTGAAATGTTTTCCTGGCATCATTTCCCCTGGGACATCTGCAATGTTTTCATCATGGCCACATCCTCATTTATGTCTATAATTTCATCTTACAAACCTCTCGCTGCAGATCTAGAATCTCTTGAATGGCAGCAGTATCAACATTCCACAGTCAGCCATTTCGCCTACAACTCCATTGACATTCTATTCATTTATTTTTATACCTCTCTTAAATTTTTATTCTTGAAAGTATTACATATATTTCCCTTTTTCCCCCATTGACCCCACTCCACCCCAGGCCTTCAGCATTCTATTGTCTATGCCCATGGGTTATGCATATATGCATACAAGGTCTTTGGTTGATTACCTCCTACCCACCCACCCTCTCCCACCCTCCCTCTGAGGTTCCCCACTCTGTTCCATGTTTCCATGTCTCTAGATTCACTCCATCAGTTTATGTTGTTCATTAGATTCCACATATGAGTGAGATCATGTGATACTTGTCTTTCTCTGACTGACTTATTTCACTTAGCTTGATACCCTCCAGGGCCCTCCATGCTGTTTCAAAGGGTAAGAGATCCTTCTTTTTTACTGCTGCATAGTATCCCATGGTGTAAATGTACCACAGCTTTTTAACCCACTCATCTACTGATGGGCACTTGGGCTATTTCCAGATCTTAGTTACTGTAAATTGTGCTGCTATGAACATAGGGGTGCTTACATCCTTTCTGATTGATGTTTCTGATTTCTTGGGATATATTCCTAGAAGTGGGATCACTGGATCAAATGGAAGTTCCATTTTTAATTTTTTGAGGAAATGCCATACTGTTTCACATGGGAGTTGCATTTTTAATTTTTTGAGGAAACTCCATACTGTTTTCCACAGTGGCTGCACCAGTCTGCATTCCCACCAGCAGTGTACTAGGGTTCCCTTTCTCCACATCCTCACCAGCACTTGTCCTTTGTTGATTTGTGGGAATGCAGTATTTTAATTGTAACTTTGTGAATATCTTTTATCTAGAGGTCTGTTGCTATTTTTGTCCTTTATGAAATTTTTGTCACCAAGTAAGGCAGGATTACATTTCCTTCCAGATTGAGTTGGTGTAGGGTATTCTTGGTTATAAAAATACTCATAGCTTTGGGACTTTGAAATGGTAAATATTCATGATGAGTGAGAAAGCATGATACATAACTGTACCATCTTAATTACATAAAAATGTAAGCTTATTTTTGTAG